TCTTCAGGAACCTAAATATATAAAACCAATGAAAGAGGAAGTGCTCATGTAGCTGCAAGAATGTGGGGGACCCTCAGCCCTGCCTACCATCTCTTGATTCTGTCCACCGTCCCTGCATCCAGCTGAAAACAATCATCTGGTCCAACTTCCTACATCAGGAATCACCTTGACCGCATCTCTGACACCTGGTCCTCAAGCCTCCACTGAACATGTCCATAGCAGACAGCTGAGGAAGCCTCGAGGCGGTCCACTTCCTTTTGCAGACTTCTCTGATAGCAACATGGTTCCTCATCTGCCTCCTGGTAACACTCACCCGTGGGTCTGAGTTCTTTGGGGTGAAACAGGCTAATTAAATACACCTTTTCTATGGCAGCCCTTCCTGAAAGACAATTTTCATGTCCCACTTAGTTCCTGGCTTATGCAGCCTTATTCCTTCTGACTGTTCCTCGTGGGACCTCATGTCCAGCTGGTGAGATGCCTAAAATAGGCAGACTGCTGTACAAGGTGTGATTTAAGGAGGGACAGAGAGACAGAAGGCTTAGAGAAAGTGTATATTGAAACACACACATACACACACACACACACAGGTTTATGGCACCCCCATTACTTGACAGGTGGGGCATTCTCCTTGTACCAGGCACTGCACAGGGCTGTACACACCTTCTCTTTCTCCTTCAGCCCTCACCACACATCCACGAATTTGGGGAGGCCTCAAAAGATGAGGCCCAGAGGAATTAAAGTACCTGGCTCAAGTTCAAGAGCTACTATTTGGTAAGAATGGGATTTGAACTCAGGTCTCACCTGACTCCAAAGCTGTGAGTTTTAGGTGTATTTCTATTAGAAGACATGGCTCTCTTTGCTGTCGGCCATCCAGCCTGGGAAGATGATAGAATGGAGCACTGAAAGGATAGCATAATGCAGATAAATTTTTGCAGGCTTTATTTATATGACTGTGGTCGGGACACAAGGCAGACTCCTCCTTTACAGGTAAGCTTTAGAGGAAATTCTCTTTTTTAATTTGTGTTTTTAATTGAAGCATAACTGACATACAATATCCTATTAGTTTTGGGTGTGCATCGTAATGATTTGATATTTTTATACATAATGAAATGATCCCCATAAGTCTAGCCACCATCTGTCACCATATAAAGTAATTACAATATTATGGACTCTATTCCCCATGCTGTACATTACATCCCAGTGACTTGTTTATTTTATAACTAGAATTTTGTATCTCTTAATCCCCTTCACCTATTTCTCCTGTTCTGCAACACCCCTCCCCTCTGGTAAGCAACAGTTTGTTCTCTGTATCTAGGAGTCTCTTTCTGTTGTGTTTTGTTTGCTCATTTGTTTTGGTTTTTAGATTCCACATATGAATGAAATCATACAGTATTTGTCTTTTGGAGACGCTTCTGTTTAAACATAACATAGTTATTCCATGTTAGGGATGATTTAATCTGTTATTTGAGCAAGCAATCAAAGAAGATGTGGGGCTCTGGGGTTGGAAGGATAAGGCATGACTGCGTGACTAAATTGATTACAGTTAACCCAGCTTCCCTTTTTTTCTCGCCCATAGAGAACCTTTAAGTTCTTTTGCATCACGAACCCCACTTTGGATGCCAGCAGGCTTGAGGAAGAGAACCTGGGGAGCAGAGAGGTGAAGGAACCAGCTTTGCCCACCCTGGAGCTCATGGTTTTACCAGGAAGAGAACTCAGTCTCTGCTCCCTGCTTTCTAGCTTCAAGGTCACATCGGCATTCCATGGCTATGTCTGATGTTCTCTTAAAATGTGCCTTAGGGACACCTGGCTGGCTCAGTGCCTGGTAGAGCACAGGACTCTTGATCTTGGGGTCATGAGTTCAAGCCCCACATTGGGTGTAGAGATTACTAAAAATCAATCAATCAATCAATCTTAAAAAAATCGAAGCTCAAAAGTTAAAAAAACAAAAACAAACAACCCCCCCAATTAAAAAAAAAAGTACCACGTATGAACCCTAACAGTAATAGCAGCAATACTACTCCTGAGGACTTTATTGAGCAATTGCTAGGCACAGGCACACATCCTCTCACTTAACATTCAACATGCCTACCAAGATTGTCCTGCTAAGATCCAATTTTAACAGTCATGGTCATTAAGGTTGGGGGAAACTGGGTAACATATTGAGGTCTCTGACCAAGCTTGTCCATTTGTTAAAGGCATGGCTGATGTTTGAATTCTGATATTTGACCTAGGGCCAGCTATCTTGATATATGAAGTGAAAAAAGCAGGTTTCAAAACAGTAGAGGACTTTATTCAGCAATGAAAAGGAACAAAGCGTGTTACATGCAACAGAGGGGATGAGTCTCACAATAATTATGTGAGTGAAAGAAGCTAGATAAAAATGTACACAGTGTATGATTCCCTTGACTGGATACATCGAATTGATAAAATTCTAGAAAACGCAGACTGGTAGATAGTAACAGAAAGCAAATCAGCAGTGGCTAGTAGCTGGAAGGGGCAGGAGACAGATTATCAAGGCATAAGTAACCATTCTCCTGATTGGATTGTGGTGATGGTTTCGCAGGTGTATAAAAACGTCAAAACTGTGGGGCGCCTGGCTGGCTCAAGTCAGTAGAGTGTGCGACTCTTGCTCTTGGGGTTTTAAGTTTGAGTCCCACACTGGGTGTATAAATTACTTAAAAACAAAATCTTAGGGGATGCCTGGTGGCTCAGTCGGTTAAGCGTCTGCTTTCGGCTCAGATCATGATCCCAGGGTCCTGGGATCGAGCCCCGCATCGGGCTCCCTGCTCAGCGGGGAGCCTGCTTCTCCCTCCCTCTGCCCCTCACCCTGATCATGTGCTCTCTCTCAAATAATAAATAAAATATTTTTAAAAATACTGTATTAGACATGATTCTGGTTTAGTTTTTAAGGCAAAAAATGAAAACATACATATGTATATAGACATATTTATATATCACTTCACATGACTCACAAGGCCCTGTGTGAGCTGATGGTTCCTGACTGCCTCCCCAGCATCATTGCTCACTACCGGCCCCTGAGCCCTCCATGTTGGGCACAGAGTCTGACCTTCCTTCCCTCCATCACCCCAAGCACCTGCTCACCTCCTGGCTTTCTTGCTTGTTTTGATTCCCTTTGCCTGGGACACTGTCTCTACTCCTCGCCTTTCCTTGGTTTACTCCTTGATTCTTTAGGCCTCAGCTAGAATGTCCTCTCCTCCCTCAGGCCAAAGCACTCACCTTTCCCACTGGGTATCATAATCATTGAATTCTATTCTCTGTAGTTACCTTGTAATTTTCCTGAAGGCAAGAGACTGTCTTTGGTTTGTGGAGGTATTCTTAATAGTAGCACCACGCCTGGCACATGGTAGGTATTCACAAGATAGGTGATTGAATGAATGACCAAAATGTTATTTTAAAGTCCTAGAGAATAAGAATGTTTATTTACTAACATGGTAGTACTTAAAAGCACATAAGATTGGGGCGCCTGGGTGGCTCAGTCATTAAGCGTCTGCCTTCGGCTCGGGTCATGATCCCGGGGTCCTGGGATCGAGCCCCTCGTCGGGCTCCCTGCTTGGCAGGAAGCCTGCTTCTCCCTCTCTCATTCCCCCTGCTTGTGTTCCCTCTCTTGCTATGTCTCTCTCTGTTGAAATAATAAATAAAATCTTTTTTTAAAAAAAGTACATATGATTGATATTCTCTAGTATGCAGGCCAGCATAATGTTAGGAATGCACGTCAAGAGAGCCTGTCACAGAGGTTACGAATATCATATTCAGACTCAGTCAGACCTGGTTCTACCAGTTGCCTGCTAAGTAACTTTGGGCAAGTTAGTTTATCTCTCTGAACCTCTGTTTTCTCTCCGTATAATGGGCATAGAGATATTCTGCCAGTGTTAGGAAGTCTCACTGAGATCATGCATGGGAAGTGTTTAGTGCAGCAGGGCCCCACACTGTAGGTGCTCAGTGACTGTTAATATTTACCAGCATTGTCACTCAGACCAACTGAGTATCATCTATCAACCAACACCTCACATTTCTTCTAGTTCTCTTCTACCAAACATTTCTCATATAGTACCTTAGCTGCCCCTACGGGGACCTTCTTGGGAGGTGACATGGATGTTACTATTACTTATTTTAAGGGGAAGCTGAAACCCAGAGAAGCTAAATGACTTTACCTAAATTACAGATAAGACAAACAGTGGCACCAAGGGCCCATCCCTTAGCAGTTCAGCACCCTACAGAGGCTACCTGCTGGGTCTTGCCTGCTCCTTAGACATAAAAGTGACTGAAGGCCCCTATCTACCTCCGGAGGCAAGCCCAAGTTTTTCTGGTAGTTCCTGGGACGCTGTGTTCTCTCAGCCACCAGGCCGAATCCTGTTCCTACTATTTTATCTCAGTTGCATCTCACCTCAGGCGGCTGATAACCTCTGTCTGCTCAGCTCCAACAGCCCTGCTTCCCTAGGTCCTCCCGGCAAACCCTCCAAAAACTCCCTCACCTAACAGAGGTACATCCCCACCACCACCCCAGCCCCTGTCCCTGCATACACACCATCTCCCCCCACCCCCTTCCTCCTCACATTTGCTCCTCCTCTGGTCCCCAAGACTGCCCTCCCTCTGAGCTGCTCCTTTCCCACAGAAATACTGAGATCTCCCCATCTGATTAGGCAAGACACTTTACCATCACACACACACACACACACACACACACACACACACACACACACACACCCTCAGATATCATCTGCCTTGAAGCTCAGCGCTCAGCTGAAGAAATGAAGAAAGAACCACCTAACCTGGCTCCCACTTCATTTGCCTCAGAGTTTGGAAGATTTGCTTTGCTTGGCTCAGCACAAAAACCTGTTTGATGGTGTATTCAACTTTATTTTTTTTCCTGATATTAAAAAAAGGGACACATTTCACCTAAAACCCTGACTTCGGGCTTCTTTCAAAAACCTGGGAAAGACATGACAACACGGGCTCCCACCCCCACCCGCCCGCCCCACAGTCAAACGTGGCAGCAGCAAGCTGCCCCCTCTGCCAGGCGAGACTGTTACTCTTCACCAGAATCCACCAGAATCCTGGGTTTGTGTGACTCAAAAGTCTGGCCTCTGGAAGCATTTGAGTTGTAATCCCTTCCCTGGCGATATAACCCAACTGGCAGAAGTTTTACGTCAGTCTTCTTCCTTCCCTTCTGTAAGTGGAAAGACCCAGTATAGAGATATTCATTTTTCCGCTGATGTAAATTATACTACCACCCCAAATTAGATAGCAGAAACAGTTACATGCAGTTTGGTTTTAAATACATTTTCCACCCCAATGCAAAAATGTTATACAGCATATTTAGATTCTTTCCCCCTCTCACAGTAAAGGTTTTTTTTTTTCATGACAACTAAAATTCCCATTATTCAACTGTCTACCATGTGCTTTGAGATTTGGGGATGATTCTAGCTGATTCCAGAATTGTAGCTGAAGATGCATAATTTCTATCTTATGAGTAGCTTGCAGCAACGTAGCCCCTCGCATACTTGATTTAACGCTCGTTAATTGAATTGCTCTTTAGTTTACCGTTCAAAGCTCAACGCATATTTTCAAAGGTAGCTCCAATTCCTGACTAATGCCTGACTCCATTTTTGCTCCCTCTCCCAATTTGCAAATTAGCTGACCCTCAATTTCTTCTAATGGTCCTCACCTTGGAGCAGAGACAAACTGGTCTTAACTGTGTAAACGTCCTCACTGCTGACATTGAATAGCCATCTGATTTGTTTTCACTTGAGGAGCACCCAGCAAACACCATCTGAAAGGGCAAACACTAAAGCAGCAGTTCTCAAAGTGGGGTCCCTGGGAACCAGTTGGAATTGCGAACCCTCAGCCCCAGCCCAGACCTACTGAATCCAAATTTGAATTTTAACGAGACCCCCTGGTGATTCATAAATGAATAAATAAATAATAAACAAGGTCATTTCTTCAGTGAAGAGGACAGTGAAGGAGTGGGGGATGTGACAGTGACTAGGAAGAGGCCATTTTCCGGAGAGCATCTGTTCTCAAAGTTTGTGGTCTCAGGAGCTATTTACACTCTTCAAGATTGTGGGGGACCCTAATGAGCTTTCTTTCATGGAAGCTCTCTCTCTCTGCCCTTCTAGAAGTTAAGACAAAGAAATGTTTTAAATATTGTCAATTCATTGAAAAATAGTGAATATTACATATTAACATTCGTTTTGTGAGAGTAGATATACTTTCTAAAACAAGAATTAATGAGCAGAATGGCACATTTTTGCGAATCTTTTTAAAAATGTTGTCTTAATAGAAGACAGCTGGATTCTCCTATCTGCTTCTGCAATCTGTTGCTGCACCACGTGCCTTGTGGTCTCTGAAAAACTCTACTGCCCACTTGGGAGAGAAACAGTGATCATGGCAAATATCCTCTTACTGTTGTCGTGAGACTGGCTTTGGCTTTGCATACCCCTGGAAGGGTCGCAGTCCCCAGGCTGCTAGGACCTGTTCGGTGAGGCCAGGGTGGAGAAAGGCCTCATAGGGGAGTGGCATGTAAAACACGTTCTCAAGTCCCCTCACTTGAAACAACATAGAGTTTGTGCAGAGAGGATGTCAACGTGACTCCGGTTCCCAACTTGGTCCTAGTTGCGGGACGATGGATAGGTCCCTTGCCCTCTCTCGGCCTTAGTTTCCTGGTCTGTTTTATGAAGATCTCTAATATTCCAGCCCCATCCCCGCTCCCCACCCCCACCCCAAGTGTGTGGGAGGTCCCAGCGGGAACTTTAGAGTAACTCTCTCGTTCGCCCAGCAGAGGGCGATGGAGACCAGCCCTGGCTGGACACCTTGCACTTCCCCGGCCCTTCACCACCTCCCCACCCAGACATAAGATCCCCTCGTGATCGGGGCGGTTTCTTGGCACCAGCTGGCACCAGGTATCTCAGGCAACCCGGGCCATCTCCCGGTAGCGGCTGGGAGCCAGAGAGCCCTTCATATTGACCCACACGTGGGCAGGCTGGGATGCTCTGATTCTCCAAGGAAGTCTGCGAAGAACAGAGGAGAAGAACTGGTTTAGGCAAAGACACATTCCCACCCCCACCCCCACCCGCAGTGGACCTTTCGGTGAGGAACCACCCAGGAGCTGTTGACTCCTCGCAGGGAAAACCGGGCGGGGTGGCCGGAAGGGAACAAGACGGAGCGCAGCGCCAACTCTCCCGGGGGGCTGCCTGCCTGCAGGCGAGGGGCTGTGCTTGCATCAGCGCTGCCAGGGTTGGGGCAACGGCCGCCAGCGACGTCAGCCGCCTTCCCAGAAGAATTCCACTGCCTGCGGCCAGGGGCCCGGGCGGTGTGGGGGCGGGGGCTTTTGGTTTCGGAGGATGACACCACTCGCAAGCTGCGTCTCCGGTTCGCATTCGGTTGTCACGGAGACGACAGCATCCTGGCAGCCTTGGTGAGGCCAACCTGCCCGAGAAGTGACCCGGACCTACTCGGGAAACCACGGGCTCTACGGTGCTGGCCCAGGGTGATGGGACCGCAGGTCCTGGCTTCTCCCCTGGGGACGCCCTGCTGGGCCACCTTGCTTATTATGCAGGATTATCAAGACTCAAAGCACTCTCACCCAACCGGCTAAGAACTAAACCCCCTCACCCCCAAATCGAAACACAAAGAACAGCCCTAAGACAGGACATGCCTGGCAAAACAGACTTTTCAATACTCTGAACTCTTGGGTTTTTTGGTTTTTGTTTTTAATCTTTTTGGAACAGTCACTGGTTTCATCCACCTTCGGTGCAGTGTTTGTTTTAAGTCACTTGGGCAAGCTTACTATGGGAGCACCTAGCATGTGCCTTAAATTGACGCATTTTTTTTTTAACTGCACCGAGAGAAGGCATTTAGTCTTTAATTATGTGTTAGTAATGATTGAGAAGATCAGGGCAAAAATAATCCTAAAGAAGGAATAAGAAATCTGTAATACTAATTTAAATGCAGCTAACATTGACTGAATGCCCACCCAATGTCAGGCACTGGGCTAAATCCTGTACAGTGATTTTACCACATTTGATATTCATGATTCTCTGGGGTAGGTTCCATTGTTTTGATCCACACTTTGCAGATAAAGAAACTGAGGCACAAAGAGGTAACTTGTTCATGTCCTACAGCTAGCCGTTTAATACTTAGTAATTAATAGAATCATATCCTGGTCCCTAGTAGGCATTCAGGAAAATTGCACTCTGCTTTGGAAAGAACAGAAAGAGGGCAGTGCACACAAACATCCCAAGAAAACCTCATTCATTTGTGCTGTTTCCATCTAAGATTTATTATAATATGAAAGCAGACTAGGGTAGGGTTCCTTTTTACTCCATGAGAAAAAAAAGTTGCTAAGCAAATATTACAAACAAGGTGAGAATATTTTTATAGGGCATTTTGGAGTTTAGAAAGCACTTTGCTACCCAGGACCTAACTTCATCTCCACAACACTCCTGAGTAGTAAGAACTGGTTATCTTAGCCCCAATTTACAGGCAAATTTTTATTTCCACAGAAAACCTTTGAACCACTTTTTAAAAAGTCGTCTTTAAGGACACAACCTAAACCACACACAATAGCCCAAAAGTAGAAGCAACCCAGATGTCCATTAACTGATGAATGAATAAATAAAATATGGTATATACACACAATGGAATATTAGTCAGCCTTAAAAAAAAAAAAGCCCAAATTCTGACACATGCTACAACGTGGATAACTTGAAGACATTATGCTAAGTGAAATAAACCAGTCACAAAAGGACACATTTTGTAGGATTCCACTTTTATGAGGCACCTAGCATAGACAGGTTTATAGAGACAGAAAGTAAAATAAATAGAAGTTATCAGAGGCTGGGGGGTTGGGGGGGAGGAGGAGGGAATGGGATTATTGTTTAGTGCCTCTACAGTTTCTGTTTGGGAGGGTAAGCTAGTTCTAGAAATGGATGGTGGTGATAGTTGCCCAACATTGTGAAGGTACTGAAGGCCACTCACTTATATACTTAAAGATGGTTACAATGATAAATTTTGTTATGTATGACTTTGCCACAATGAAAAAAAAATGTAAAGGAAACCAACCACCTCAGTGCTCTCCATTCTTATTGTACTTCGTTTTTTAAGAGGAGATTCTCCTGTGTTTATTAAAACAGGAGCAGCTTTAACCTAAGACCCATTTCTTGACTTTGCAGGGGTTGCTGCCTCCACTTGAAAGTAAGAAAACGTCACACCTTTAAAAATAGCTCACAATCGTGCCTTTTCGATAAATACAGGAGCCTGGTATTCCCCTCAGGTATTCCAAATGAGCAAGATCTGGCAGGGAGGGGGGAGGATTGGGGGTGAGTCACTGGTTTGGCAGGTGAGGTCATCATGGGGTGACCGTCTGCATCGAGCAGGCTCCCCACCTCCCACATCTCCCATCTTCTCCCCTCAGGGGCAGCTAAGTCAACAGCCAGCTTAGCTGCAGGTCTAGTTGCTCTGTTGTGATGTTCAGTGGGAAACATTCCTCTTTATGACTCCGTGACTCAACACCCCAGCAGATGGGTTCATGAAGGCTCTGGTTACCAAAGCCAGCTCTGAGGTCGAGACCCGGGACTGCCAAGTCATGGTCTATAAGCAAAAGAGGCGAGACATATATCCTTGGGAAGGGAGAGGAGAGAGCTTGTTCTCTGTTGGAATGCGAAATATCTAAGAAATGATGGAATTGTTCTACTTATCTTGATTATCCTGATTAAGACAACCTGAGAGAGTGGCACAGCGAAGAGGACAGTAAATATTTGCTAAATGATTCTTACTTTGGAGGAGTTCAACCACAAGGACAATCCCAAACTACTAGTAAAACATACATATTTTTAGGTTTTACCAACTCTGGTTTTCTCAAAGAGGCACTGGAATTAGAGCTTGGTATATTTTTACGGAGTGGACACAGGCTTCAGGTGGACAGTCTTGGTATCAATACAAAGAACCATGATGTTTATTATGTAGGTAATTAGGTTATTAATAAGTAGTAATGTGAAGGGACTTTCTTGGACTTGTTTGTACACTCATCTAGCAACCATTAGCAGAACTACCATGCATATAAAATGAAAGAGAGTGAGAAAGAGAAAGTTTTTGATTTATTTGTTTTGCCTTTTTCCTCTCTGGTCTCTATGTTGTTGAGTCAGTCTGATATGGTTTAAGGTACATGAGCCTTAGCATAAGACAAGCCTTGTGTTAGGCAGGGATACTAGGTTGCAAGGGACATAATATGCATTCAAATTAGCTGGAGGGGGAAAAATCCAAATGATGACTTCAGGCACAGCTGTATCCAGGTGCCCACATGATAATGTTAGGGATCTGTTGATCTAGACCTCTGAACTCTGCCTTCATAAGCCCACAAGTTGACCAAAAATCTTCCAGTAGCTCTGGGCTTACATCTACAGGCCTAAGACCTCATTAGAAAGAAATCTTCCTTCCCAACAAAATTATCTCACAGACTAAGAACCTCACAGACTGAGAAAGAGATAGATGCTTTTTCCATAATAAAAGGTAATGGTTGCTGGGCAGGCAAAAATAACAGGTGTCTACTCCCCTGGCATAAATGTATACCTGTGGGAGAGAGGGTTTACAATTTAGGTACCACTTTCCTAGTTTGTCAGTGAGTCAGTCTGGTGGGGTGAAATGTTTATGCTCTGGACTCAGCAGTCCCGAGTTGAAACTCTGGTTTTCCACTAGCTCTCTGGCCTCCAACAACTCACTTAAAAGTAATCAGGCTAATAATAACTACCATGTTTTGAACATGAGACAGTTGCTAGGCATTATGTGTATTATCTTGTTTTCTCGACAGCTCTGCAAGGTAGTTATTATTGTCCCATTTTACAGATGAGGAAGCTGAGGTCCAGAGGGAGTAAATGACCCACTCAAGGTCAGTAAGCTAGTAAGGGTCACTCCAGCCCAAGGCACTCTGACTCAAAGTGGGCTCTCAGGGTCTCCCTCTCCTTGCCTGCGAAATGGGTGTGAGCTGGAGGAGAAGAAAGGGGTAGAGGAAGATGAAGAGGAAAAGGAGAAACAACAGTAAAATGCCCGTAAAGATATTAAGTATGCAGTAGATCTAGTTCTCTTTGTTTCTTCCACTCTCGCTTTCCCTTGCTTCCTTTCTCTTTCTTTTTTTGGTTACTTCATATGGTCCTGATTTTTCCTTCTTTCCTCCCTCCCTTCCTTCCTCCCTTCTCCCTCTTCCCTCCCCTCCCTCCTGCTCTCCCCCTCCCATCCCTCTCCTGCTCTCCCCCTCCCATCCTTCTCCTTCTCTCCCCCTCCCATCCTTCTCCTGCTCTCCCCCTCCCATCCTTCTCCTGCTCTCCCCCCTCCCATCCTTCTCCTGCTCTCCCCCTCCCATCCTTCTCCTGCTCTCCCCCTCCCCTCCCTCCTGCTCTCCCCCCTCCCCTCCTTCTCCTGCTCTCCCCCTCCCCTCCCTCCTGCTCTCCTCCCTCCCCTCCTTCTCCTGCTCTCCCCCTCCCCTTCCTCCTGCTCTCCCCCCTCCCATCCTTCTCCTGCTCTCCCCCCTCCCCT